GGGTCGCTATGAGTCGGGGCCGACTCGACGGCAAATAACAACAACAACAACAACATAGGAGTAAAATTTAGGACCAGTTGGGAAAGCTCTATCAAGAATGTTGAATGCATTGATATGGACTGAACAGTCTTCTCATCTTCACTATATAGCTGATTTTTCTTTAAAAAAATCAGCTTTTTGAAGTATAGTTTATGTACAACAAAATCTAGTCCATTTAAAGTGTACAATTTAATGAATTTTGACAGATGTATACATCCATGAAATCACTCAAAAGACAACCAAACCAAACTCACTGCCATAGAGTCGTATCTCACACATAGCGACCTTTCCTTGGGTCTCTGAGGCAGTATCACTACGGAAGTGGATTGCCCAATCTTCCTTCCAAGGAGTGGCTGGTGGGTTTGAACTGCCAGCCTTCTACAATCAATAAAGAACATTTCTATCACCCAAGTTTTTCCTCATGCCCTTTTGCAGTTCATCTCTTCCTTCACTCCTGGCCTCAGGCATCCAGGGATCTGCTTTTGTCACTAGGGATTAGTATGGTTTCTAGAGCTGCCCTGTCTAAGTGCTGGTAGTCACTAGCCATATGTGGCTATTGAACACCTAAATTGTGGCTACTATGAATTTAGATGTGCTGTAGTATAAGACAAGGAGCTCTGGTGGAATAGTGCCTAAGGCATTTGACTGCTAACCAGAAGGTTGGAGGTTCAAATTCACCAACCACTTCATGGAAGGAAGACCAGGCAGTCTACTTCTGTAAAGATTTACTGTTTTGGAAGCCCAAAGGGGGTCGCTGTGAGTCAAAATTGACTTGATGGCAGTGGGTTTGTTTTGGTTTTGGTAGTATAAGACACACGTGGGATTTTGAGGGTTCAGTATAAAAAGGAATGTAAATGATCTCATTATATTTTATACATTTTGAAATAACAGTATATTGGATGTACTGCATTAACTAAAATATTCTGGTAAAGTTAACTTGTTTTCTTTTTTAAATGTGGCTACTAGAAAATTTCAAAAGATACACATAACTTGCATTGCATTTCTAAATGATAGCACTATTTTTGAGCCTAGTAACTCTTAAATCACCCTCAGGATTTATTTATTTGAGTTTACGTCAGTCCTCCTTCGTCTTGGCTAATATGGCAAACTGTGACTTCCCTTAATTTGCCACTTACCACATTTTAGAGAAATTATGTGGGTGTGTTTTGTATCTCTTCCCCAGTAGCCTGAAACTCCTTCAGGGCAGGGCCATATGCTTTATTTGTTAATGTCCCTTTAGAATCTAGGCCAATGCCTGATACATGAAATGTCACTCAAGGATATTTATTGAGCCAAATTGTCAACTATTGTACTTAGAAGTTCAGAGAATAATTTTTATGTAAAAGTGTTCAACAAAGTATTATTGATAGTTTTTTTTTTTTTTTCCTTTTAAACAGGTAATGCGTGGAATGTAGTAATTGTTGTTTGTCACTGTTGAGTCCATTCTGACCCCTAGAGAGTGATCCCATGTACAACAGAGCAAAACACCGTCCAGTCCTGCATCATGTAATAATAGGAGTAACACAGGTCGTAATAGGAGTAACAAAGGTCGTAATAGGAGCAAGGCAAAGCATATTTCAAACAATGGGCTTTTAGAAAGTTATTAAAAATGTTCTTCTTGGAGAATTGATAATACTGTGGGAATATGTAACATAAAGTGAGAAAAAGGAGGGTGAAAAATCCTATGCAGAATTGCATCTAAACTCTATAATAAAAATTAATGTCTAGAAAAAGAATTAAAGGAAATATACTAACATGTTGACAATAGAGTGGTTATGGATGATTGCCATCATTTTTACAAAATGTTCTATACTTTCCAACTCTTAGCAGTGAACTCTTATTTCTTTCTTTCTCTTTTTAAAGAGGGTTTTTTTTTTTTCTTCATATTTCTTTTACTGCAAGAAAAATATTATTCAAAAAGTTTGCTTAAAAAGTATTTTCTTCTTCAGGTTTCTTGCTGCAATCCAACTAGAATGTGATTACAGTTATCATAAGTTTTGAACTAGAACATTAAAACTTGCTCACAGGCCAAGACCTGGGAAGAAAAATGTCTGCCACCCCCCACAGAAATTTCAGTCTTCATATTTCGTTAGATGGACCCCTCTGAGCAGCTCTTTAGTCCTGTCAATTACCAAATAGCCAGTCTCTCATCCAGCTCTTAATTCTTTAAGAGGAGAAAAAGCCTCTATTTCAAGCCCGTTGAACCATGCCCATTTCTGAAAGGTGCACAGGCATTGGCAGTGTCTGGAAGCAGAGGTAGGGGTGGGAAGCATCTTTTCAATGAGAAAAACAAGAAATTCTCTACCTGAGGTATCTGATGGCTATTAAGGCTTTCCACCGAACAGGGGTAGCTAATGAATCCAGGGGCTCATCCCTAATGAAGTCCTGCAACACAAACAAGGAGGTGAAACAATTTAGAAATCACTGGGGGCCCTCAACCTTGACATTGCCTCTTGGCCACTTCACTGGACCCTTGGGTGCCTTGAGTCAAAAATATGGCAGAGATTTGTATTGTTTGTGGTTGGTGGGTTTTATTTTTAAAAAGACAGTCCTGAACTTTTGGAATTGGAATTCTCTGTGGCCTGCCCATGCCTTCTCTGTAAACTCACCAGCATGTAACCGAGCAGCACTTCCTTGTAGGAAAACTTGAAACCCTGCTCCTGGGCATCATGGACAGCAATGCCAATCTCTGTGATGCTTCTTATGAAGCTCATCAGCAGATCCATGTCCTAAAGCAAAAGGATTCCTGGTGCAAGCCAAGGTCTTAGGTATCACACCAGGTCTACAAATACTCAACAAGGGAGCAGAGCAAGAATCTCTGCTCCCTTTGGAATCATTACCTCTAGCCTAGCATCATAGTTGTAGGGGAGTGAAAAAGGTCCATATTTCCCCTTATCATTCACTATAGATTGAAGTTTCTTTAGAGTAATGACTTTCACACTTTTCTGACCATAAACCATAGTATGAAATTCTGCCACAGTTTACAATTCTACTCAGTACTAGATTGGGCAATCTACTTCCATAGTGATACTACCTTGGAAACCCAAGGAGGGGGTCACTGTGAGTTGGATCTGACTCGATGGCAGTGAGCTTGTTTTTTGTTTGGATATAATATGTAACTGAAATAAATCTTTAAATAGTTACCAATGCTATGTGTGATGTACTCTTCTACCTTTTCTTTTTCCATTACAAAAGTATTTGCTGGTTGTTATCTATTAAACTGATTTGTGGCTAACTAGTGTTGGCAGTTCCAACTCACCAGCCGTTCTGTGGAAGATGATGGGGCAATCTACTTCTGTAAAGATTTACTGCCTTGGAAACCCAAGGGGGGTTACTATGAGTCAGAATCGACTCAATGGCAGTGCATTTTGCTTTAGTGGGTCACAACCCAGAGTTTGAAAAACACTATAGTCTAAACACCTGGCGCTAGAATAAAACTCCTTGTGTTGTCCTAGTGTAGGCTCAGGAATCTTGGCTTCAGAACTGGATTAATTAGTAAGTAGCATAGTGCCTAAGGCACTTGACTGCTCACCAGAAGGCTGGCGGTTCAAACCCACCAGCCACTCCTCGGAAGGAAAGGTTGGGCAAT